TTGATTTTTTTAATGTTGCGCAAAAATTGAACCTTGGGGTTTTATTAAAGTTTAAACTGCATTTTTATAAACAAATAATAAAAATTAAATAATTTTAAGATAAATGGCCAATCTTGGTAATATGTAAGTGTCGTAAAGTTTTGATAAGCACTTGAAATACTAAAAATAAAATGTCAAACTTTAGTACTGAATTCAAATAAGATGTCTCCTTTATCCATGTATAATAACTAAAAAAAATTTGTTTGTTAAGAAGTAAACCTTAAAATATGTGCATACACATTTATGTTCAAAGTGTAAAATGTACCTACGTAAACTTTCCCATGAATACCATCAAATCATTAAGCTTGAAGGGAATCTATGTATGCATGTACTAAGAAAATATATGAGCAAATTAAAAAGTCGATGCAATTTACAGTCGAAAAGTATAGTTTTTGTATAGATTTCGTACTGAAGTAAGTGTGAGCTAAAAGTGAGAGTGTGTTAGTGTGCCTTCGCATGCTGTCGCTTTCTCGTCGTTTGTACATGTTTTGTTGCTATAAACGACGAAAATTACTAAATTCACTAAAATCACTCAACTGAACTGTTGGTGCTTCTTAGTGCTCCTGCTCATTTCGGTATAACTAATTTGTTTAATGGCTCAATGAGAGAATTGAGCACTACACCAATGCATATCAACAGAGAACTTAGTCATTGTACATGCCACAGTATATACAGTAATAAACCTTTTTGAGTACTCCTCGGGGGTAAAATCTGATCAGGGTTGATAATGAGAAGGAGCATGAATTTTGCTGATTCAGAGTTGCATACAAAATTACTGTGGTATGAAAGGGAGCAACAACCGTACTAAGGCAGAGTGGTACAGGTAATTTTGTAAACAAACACTTTTCGTGTCATTTTAAAAAGATAATTGCTATTTATTTTCCAATATTCAGATACCCAGCTTGTAGCCAGAGGCACTGCCTTGTGAGGTTCACTAAAATCTACTCATCATATTGGAACAACTCCGGGTAATGGACCATTGAATGTGTTGGCTGAACTTATGACCGCCATGACCAATGCACTGTCCGACCAAATGCGTGTCTTGAATTTATACGGTAGCAATTCATAGCAACTGCTATTGTATGTGTGTATATGATTCATATTTGTGATATTCTACACTTTGATGTTAAGTATTTTTGAGGAGTTCCGCTCAAACTTGGGTGTGCTTAATGAGCTGTCTGGGCGAATGCGCAGGCAGCCATTGAAGTCTCTATAACTAAACAAACCTTTATTTTTTGGAATAAAGATTTAAATATATTCGGAAATTTAGAGTTTTCTTTGATCAATACACAAAATTTACGTTTTTTAATAAAAAATACGATGTGAGTTGCCAATTTATAGAAACACAAGCGTTAATTATGTACTTAACTATTGATATTATTCTTAGTTAAGCATTGAAACTATACTTAACCTAAATTTTGTTCATAAATAACAAAATTACATAAATTTTATCCTCGAGAAGACCTTTTTCTAATCATCAGGCGAAATTCCCCACAGTAAGTGTTGCCGTGCGCGCAAAACGAAAACGCTGCACACAACCCAAAAGTACTCCTCGGGGACCAATTGGTGAAAAACTGCGAAAAGGTTTATTATGTATATACTGTGGTACATGCTCTCGCTTCGTGTGCCGAGCGTAAAATAGTGTTAGTGCATATGTGTGAATATTCTGCAATGAATAATATCCACTAACACTATTTCTTGTGTTATTCAACCAATTACTTAAAAACACGAATAATTGCAGTTCCCTGGTTTGTACATGCAGTTTGAATACAATAGTTTAAGTTGATGTCAGATAAAACTTTGTGGATCCGCATGACATTTATAACTTTGCCAGCAAAGCGCAAGACGCAAAAGGTATGCCACAATGAACGACAAGGAAATAATTTTGTAGTGCATTTTTATCGCGAAAATGTCTAATGATTTTATATATTTAGTTTCAAAAATATCAGCAGTGTAATTAAATCATATGTTTCTGCATGAAACCTCGAATTTGGACAACACAAAATACATATTAAACTAGCTGATAACCAACGCGCGCAAAAAGATGGGATTTGGCCATATTTTTGCTTCGCGCTGCAGGTAAAACAATCTATGTGACATTTTCATACACGTCACGCAAAGCGAGACAAGCGTTCCGTACCCTTGATATATCAAAATTATTTTTAGCATATGATCATCCTTGGAAAGCTTGCATTAGGTATAAGAAGGCTACATAAATGGTTTTGAAAGAGCAATCAAAACATTTGCTAATTTCGTTATACTTCACTTCATTTTCTCAGAGCTTTCTAATACTGTCAAATTCGGACTACTGCAAATAGTGAATCAAAACTTTGCTTCAACAAAACATTGCTGTAATAAAACATCAAGCACTACTGCATTTACTGTCGAGTGCAACTTCTGTGCAGTAATACAGGGAGTGCAGTAAAATTCTATGTAGGGTAGAAGTGGGTGAATTCGCCAATGGGGCACATTCGCCACCTATCGTTTTCTTCAAAGTTACTAGTGCTATCGATGTTTGAAAATCGATAACTTGTGCTTCAGTCGTCCACATCTTTTCTTATTTATACGATGTTTCCACGTTTCGTAATTCGCTCTATAAGTAATTCGCTAAGTAATTCGTGAATTACCCTGTTTCAACGACACACATTAGTAATTCGTTTGGCAGCTCTAGTTCTTGTTCTTGTTCTTCGCTATTTATTATTATTGTTGTGTACTGCAAATATCGAAGATGGAGCTAAAATTTAAGATATCATCAACAATTTTAATTTATATAGAGAATATTTTATTAATATTATTCTATAACTAGAAAAAGTGCCAGCAAATGGGACCAGGCCAGTGAAAACTTCGATACATTTCCGATAAATATTAGAGAAGGCACCGATTTGTTCGTCATCCGCATGGTAATTCGATCTGAATTATCTACAAATGATGTAATTCGCTCTCAAAATTTTGTATGGCGAATTACGTAATTCGGAAGGTAATTGGCAAGGCGAATGACGAATGGGAGAGCGAATTACGATTCGCGGAAACGCCGAATTACTTTGACAGTTCATCTTTGCAAGTGGTTGTAGACAGTCGCTTTTATCTACTTTTTTACGTTGCTGGGAAAAGTTTTGTGGTTAAATATATTTCGTAATAATTTTGTTAATTGTGTTCTAAATTTGTTTTTTATATGTGGAATATACACTAATTCACAAAATGACTAAGAGTAATTTCCACCAAAACAAGAACACACTCAAAATATACTAACTCTTATATGCGGCGGCAATTTTTGTCTCTATCGAGTATAGTCTACCCAGCTGGATTTTACTCATTTGGTCGAGTGAGAGGCTGAAAATAATTTCAATGAGTTTAATATTATTTATGTTCTGCTTTGTTCTACATCAGTGTTGGCATTTTTAGTACAATTGTACTTTTTTGATGCAATTTCATTTACTACGCAGTACTTTTTAGTACAATTTTGTGATGAATACTATAAATATATACGTAGCTCTGAAAATTCACTGCGGGAATTCGTTTTATCTTTTTGTCTTTGCCTTCTCGTTTTTGTCTTTGTAAGTTTTGAAAAAAGGGTTTGGAATAACCATTATAACATAGCAAAAGGTGTGCTATCGACCTCACATTC